ATGTAATTCAGCATTTTCAACTTCCAGTTCCTGTACCTGCAGAATATAAGATAATATTAGCTAAAGAGTAATACGACAGAAATAATAATGTCCGTAACTATATGTAATCACAGTTTATACATCATGGGAACCATATTGGTAATCAGTGTAATTGAGACTGGTATATTTTTTTAAACAACAAGAACAAAGGATAAATTGAGTCTTTAAGTGAACTAAAGTAAGCTCAGTAAGCAATAAAGACTAAGATATACTGAAACTGATGAAAGTATTTACAGTTATAACATGTGAAGTTAATGAAATGCTGAGGAGCTGACAGAATAAAAAAATAACTATTAATTTGTAGTGTTCAGGCATCTTTAACTTCAGTTTCTTTTTACTTCATCCATGAGTTCTTCAGTGCTTAGTAATGGCACTTTTGTTAATATGGTTTAACATGATACAAGACCCTTACTGTGTTCTTCTGTAATGAAGTAAGTGTTTGCTTAGCAGAATTTTAGCTTTATGTTAGTTTAGCATTCTATTTAAAACAAAGATTTTGGGTTTACAAAATTCTCTGGTTACTTTCAAAACACCCACTTAGAAAGACTGCATTCTCAGACCTAACCAATTATATCATAAGATGCAGGTTAATCAAGCATCCATTCCAGCTATACATTGTAAAAATATTTTGATTTTTGCATATCCAAAGGGCCCATACAAATTCAGACGTCGCTTAGCATAATACTGCTTCTGTCCATAAATCTACTCAGTTACTGTCTTATACTGTAACTCATAAGAGAAAAGAATCAGTTAAAAAACAGAAAACCATAACAATCCAGATATACTTGCTGCATAATAACAATTCTGATTCTAACCTTTCTTTCTATCTCCTCTGATTCCCACCCACTATCATGGCTAACTGTATCATTCTTGTCATTTTCATCCCTAAATTTATGAAAAGTAGCAAAAAAATTACAAAAACAGCCTAAAATTCAGACATTGTTGATCACTACATACGTCGACTAGGATGTTTCAATTTCTTTCTAAATAATAACGTTTAGCAACATTCCTGTTACAAAACTTTTAATATAATTTCAGTTTTAAATCAGTATAGTCTGTTCTATATCATATCAGTTTAAAAGCTTCGTTATCTTGTTTTCTTTATCATCTGTACTTCATTTTATTGATGTTCTTCCTGCAGTCCTTTCTCTTAAGTTTATCATCATTAGAATATCTCTTCATTCATGACTGGTGTTTCTATTCTCTAGCTGGCATCTTCTATTGTGCAATTTGCTCTCTGTGACTCTCTGGTCACCAGGATATATCTTTTATTTCATGTTCCACATTTGTTTGATCTTTCTGTCTTTCATGAAGTGGTTATTTTCATTTTTCTTTGAGCTAAAGAAAGATGTGGTACATACCTTAATGACCCTGGGATCACCTTAAATACTACCTAATTTCTTCTTCTTTGTTTGTGTTTATATACCTTGGGGATTCAGTTTTGATTGTACCTGATGATGACAAAACGTTGTACATTTTTTTTTCTTCATTACCCATTCAAGCCGTCTCCAACCATTATTAGTCTCAAAGTGGGTTCCTCGTCATTGAATCAGTTATGATTAGCTTTTTGTAAAAATTTTCAAAATGATTTTTTTTCTTTAACATTTTTTGAACAGTTGATTTCTTGTAATTCACTCATCCTAAAAATGACAAACAGCATGAGCCCTGTTTCATAAAACACTTATTTCTGAGAGGAGGAGATGTTACAATGTATCCAAAGAAAAATAAGCTACATTTCCAGAAACAAAAAAATGTTGCTGGATAAAACTTAAGTTTTCTTGTTGTAAAAATTATTTTATATTTTCACATAATAACACAAGTTTTTTTTTATAATGCTAATATAGGTCAACTTACCCTTTTTTGAAGGATCATGTAATTCTTCTTCATTTCCATGTCTTTACCAGATGATTCCAGAAAACGACGATAGGCCAAATCAAAGGCTTGTCCAATTGTAAGTGTTATTTCTTGTGACTAAAGGTTTGGCCAAAATAGAATATTTTGTTAAATTATATTTCTATAAATTCAAATATAAAATAAAATCAGTCCTCAATGTCATAAAAATAACAATTATCTGAATTTATTAATCAATTACTAATAAAGTAAAAAAAAAGAAGATTAAACTAGTTAAATAATAAAAACTTAATATATGATGGGTGAATATATATGCATGTATAAAGAATACACAATAATACTGAACATACTTACCAGTTTGTCACTAATAAAGTAAAAAAAAAGAAGATTAAACTAGTTAAATAATAAAAACTTAATATATGATGGGTGGATATATACATGTATGTATAAAGAATACACAATAATACTGAACATACTTACCAGTTTGTCACTAATAAAGACAAAACAACTATGTTTTTCACTTTCTTCTTTGGCAATAAAACTGAAGAACTTTTTATCTGACTTGTCATCAGCACAGTAAGATATCCGATGAAGGGGAAACTGATGGAATATTTTCTTTACATACAAAAAAAAAAAAGGTAAATGAATAAATTCACACAAGATGATAAATTTACATTTGAAAGGTCATAGTTAAGAAATATTTTATTTTCATGCATCTCTGAGAAAAAGAACATAAAAAGCTGTAGACTACTTATACTCGGTAGATCTGGGCAACGTAATTGATTACCTATGAGGAGTATTTACATTGATTAGTGTTTAAATCGATTGACATGAGAATAATAAACTAACCAAAATTAGTTTTATAATTATTACTATTTTTGATTATTCCAACCATCCAAATAATCAAAATAATGTTATTGTTTGTTTGCTGTTATGCACAAAATTACATATAGGGTTACTATGTACTGTCCAATTTTAGCCTTATACATTTTTTTTTCCGCTTAAAGCTTGTTCAGCTTTGTTGCCAAACCCAGACTACCTCACCCTCTTTTTGTCATGGCAAAGCTACTGATCCCACAACAATCTGTACCATGCCTTACAGCAGGTTATAATGTTTACCTTTGTTTTGAAATCTTGGATGGCCACTCCATCTACAGAGATTGTCAATTCAACTTTTGGTATTTTTCCTCCCTCTGATCTCTTCAGGTTTTGTGTGAACTAAACATAATGATAGTTAACATAAAGAAGAATAAGTTTCTACAATTCAGTCAGTCTTTTTAAAATTATAGTTCAAATAGAAACTGAGCATTAATCTATTTTTAGTAATGTAGTTTGATATCACTTGCAAAAATTTTTACATTAAAAAACAGCCTTGTGCTTTTTTTAAGTTTAATCTTCCAGCTCTACAAATAAAGATAGTTCCAGTATTTTATTTAGAAATACTCTTTCATGCTATTCACCCACAGGATTTTTTTGTTGTTTTTATACAACTTCTGTATTGCACTTACAGGCAAGAACTAATATTCGGTACAACAATTCAGAAACTGTAATATATTTAATTAGACTTTCCTAGTTCTACCATAACCAGGCATCACTCACAGTTACAAAAGTTCAATTAAACACAATTAATTATCACTGATTGGACAATATGCTAAATACATTAATCACAAGACATATGATTTCATACAAAATCAAGTTATTTTTTAACTTTAGAACTTTCCTCAAACATTTATGTTCACCCTACCTTATACTGTGCATTATTTCAATATGACCTCTTTAATACAAAATCCTAAATTTTTCTTCATATTTGTAAAACTTGCATATTTAATCCCCACAACTTTCTGAAACTTATAACAACTTACCCTTAGTTTCCGAATTCCTTGTTTCACCACATCTATACCCTTAGGCTGTTCAACCTCAGTGTTTCCTAGAAACTGAATAATTACATAACAATATATACTCATCAGTAGTACAAAAATTTCATTTAGTGTAAGTAAAACTATACAAGTCTAAGCAATATTATTCTTTAATACATTAAACTAAAAAGCAGATTACAATTTCTGTGTTGAAACCGCATGCATTGTCTTTAGGAGAAGATTTGTTCTAAGAGTATATTTAAACAGTGCACATGTATAAGGTGTTAACAAATTACTTACTTTTAGTAAAATACTGTTAATAAGTTTGGAAATTTTGAAGTGTATCCTTTCTCTGAAACCTCTAAACAAAACAAATTTTTAATACAGTCTACTATGCCAAATACACAATCTTAATAATATAACTGGTATTTAATAAAATATGCAAAAAAATACTATATATATATATTTAGATTACTTAGTATTAGCAAACATTACATAAACTTCTACTAATATAATCAACTCAGTTTCATGTTTGCTATAAGAAGCTTTAAAATATTTTCTAAGCTATACCACAAAATACAGCAAATTTAGAACAAAATATAATATTTTTTACTGTAAAAAAATGAATACTTATACAATGATATTTACAAAAGTAAAAGTATATGCAGGTTTCCAGTAAATTCTAAAGCACAATAAAGCTTAAAACCAAACTTATTGTATGATGTTTCTTTTTTCTTTTAAAACTAAGAATATCCTGTTTGCTGTCTGAGAATATAACACGGTTTCAACCCATGTGAATACAAATAATAAAAAGAAAATTACATTCAACAAGATATCTGGTTCTACTAGATCCTATTATTTTATTTTACCTTGACTAAGTAGGCCACATGACCTGCTTCCAGGACTTCTGAGGGATGGATCCACACTCTGTTTCCTAAGCAAATAATATGATTATGACACCTACAAAGATAATCCTATTTTTTGCTTTTATACACAATCATAAAAACTAAACTCTCAAGAACTGCATGTAAACAGTTTATCAATGTTTATAAAACATTTTAGCTAAGATTTACAAATCAAATACCTTAGAACCACTGAATTGTATGGCTATGATGTTTTTTTCACATTTAAAAACAAAAGTTATGTGATAAAAACATTAAATTAGCATTAACAACAAAACACAAGATGTATAAAAATGGCTTGTACTGCAAAAAAAAAAGTGGAATATGAAACTTAATTTCTTAGATAAAAATCTCACAAACATAAGTACACAAAAGATGTTTTACAACAGATTTGTCATGAAAGCACCTAAATGAAGTCCCAAAAAATGATTTAACTTTATATATATATATATATTGATGCACAATGAAAATACAAGTCTAAATTTTACATGAATAGCTCTTTGGCCACATACAAACCATTACTTACATTTAACTCAGAGGGCAGGAAGGTTTGTTGATTGCCCAAGCAGTATTGTACCTTGAAATAACAAATTTCTGAGCTCATGTCATTTGAGTTCATAAAAATGCCACGTTCTCAATGCATTTCTTTTGGGCATCAGAGTATTTTACTATTTCATAACTGGGAAGGACCTTCACATTTCTATTGTTTTCTGTGATTTTAGATCACATGAGGGAAATAAAAGGTTTTTGTCTTAATTAAGTACACATGATGTATGTTCATGCATACCTTATGAAGGAAATACATGGAAAAAAACATTTCTAATTCAATAACAGCAACTTATTTATATTACTGGTTTAAATGTACATTATTTTGTTATGCTTCAACAAATTCTAGAATACATAATGGAAATTGATTGAGTGTTGTTTTTTTTTTAAGGAGTGTAGAATGCTTTTGTTTGTAAAGAGCAATGAGTGATGAGGGTTTATGCACAGTACTAGCCCTTGGAGAAACTTTTTTTTAAACAATAACAACAAGACCCATAATTTTGTACAAAACCAAACTATTTTTTATCTTTACAGCTTTACTCTAACATTGATACACACACACACACAAACAAAACCATTTTTCTCTATTGTTGCTATGCCTATTACTGAACAAGGAAAATGACATTTAAAATTTAAAACAAAGTTGGTTAAAAAGCAATCAGGATTAACCCTTTTAATTTTATACCATGTATGCTACGTTGAGTAAATTTCCTGAGAATCTGAAGCCCTTTCAAAGAGGATGTAGCATTGTAAGATAGTTTTTTATTTTCTCATGTACACCAGATCTTTTGCATAAAAATTCCAAGTTTGAATTACTGTACATACTTGTCAAGTTCTTTTTTCAATAACATTTCAGATGAAACAATAAAATATTATGGTCTACAATTACAACTATTTAGCCAAACATTGTATATGTGTCTATATATATATATATATATATATATATATATTGCAACACACACAC